CTGTTTTCGTCAACTCGGTTATCGTCAACTTGATTACCGTCAACTGTTTTCGTCAACTCTGTTATCGTCAACTTGATTACCGTCAACTGTTTTTGTCAACTCTGTTATCGTCAACTTGATTACCGTCAACTGTTTTTGTCAACTCTGTTATCGTCAACTTGATTACCGTCAACTGTTTTTGTCAACTCTGTTATCGTCAACTTGATTACCGTCAACTGTTTTTGTCAACTTGGTTATCGTCAACTTGATTACCGTCAACTGTTTTTGTCAACTCTGTTATCGTCAACTCTGTTATCGTCAACTTGATTACCGTCAACTGTTTTCGTCAACTCGGTTATCGTCAACTCTGTTACCGTCAACTGTTTTCGTCAACTCGGTTATCGTCAACTTGATTACCGTCAACTGTTTTCGTCAACTCGGTTATCGTCAACTCTGTTACCGTCAACTGTTTTCGTCAACTCGGTTATCGTCAACTTGATTACCGTCAACTGTTTTCGTCAACTCTGTTATCGTCAACTGTTTTCGTCAACTCTGTTATCGTCAACTCTGTTATCGTCAACTGTTTTCGTCAACTCTGTTATCGTCAACTGTTTTCGTCAACTCGGTTATCGTCAACTTGAGTACCGCCAATTGTTTCCGTTAACTCGGTTATCGTCAGGAGCTGCAGTTCTCTCTCTCTCCATCTCTCTCGGTCTGCTGTACCTGTGATGGTGTCTGTGCGCAGTCTCAGGCTCTGGTTTTCAGACTCCTGCTGTTCACGCTGAGACTCCATCAGATTAATCTGCTGCTGGAGCTCGAACAGACTGGTCTCTAGAGCCTCCCTCTCCGTCCTGAACACACACACCGGTCAGTCAAACACACACGTACATTTAAACAGACGCTGACACTGGTGTGTTTGTGCACCTGAAGGCTGCGAGCTCCTCCGTCAGACTGGCGTTCTCTCGTTCTGATGCGGTCAGCTGAACCAGAAGTCCCGCCCTCTCCCGCACTAGCTCCGCCCTCCCTTGCCCCACCTCCTCAAGAGCAGCACTCTGCCGCTCTCCTTCACCGCGGAGGGAGGCAAGCTCCGCCTCCAAACCAGACACTTGGCCAATCAGCTGTTTGATTGACAGCACACATCAGAAACAGAGTTTACATCAGTAAAACACACACACACACACACACACACACACCTGTGTAATTCTGTCCTGCAGCTTGACTCTGTCAGCCTGCGCCGTCTGAAGCTCCGTCTCCAGCCCCGCCCTGGCCAGCTCCATCTCCTGCAGTGATTGGTGGAGAGCGAGGCGGGCGGAGTCCAGCTCCAGGCGGTCCTGCTCGGAGCGCACCAGCTCATCCCTGATGGTCAGCTTCTCTAACTCCGCCTCCCTCTGCCGGCTCAGCAGCCCGCCCCTCTCCTCCTCCAGCTGTCAATCATTACAGCAGCCAATCAGAGCTACAAAGGGAAACACTAGGACTGCCCCCTAATCTGCCCTGATTAACTCATTTAATACACGACTGATGGAGCACTGACACTGCTGATGCTGCTGATGTGTGTGTGTGTGTGTGTGTGTGTGTGTGTGTGTGTGTAGCATGTCTACTAGTGTGTGTCCAACTCTAGTGTGTGTGTGTCTGACCCTGGCGAGTGTGTCCTTCAGTTGTGTGTGTGTGTGTGTCTGACCCTGGCGAGTGTGTCCTTCAGTTGTGTGCGCTGTGTGTGTGTGTGTGTGTGTCTGACCCTGGCGAGTGTGTCCTTCAGTTGTGTGTGTGTCTGACCCTGGCGAGTGTGTCCTTCAGTTGTGTGTGTGTATGTGTGTGTGTGTGTCTGACCCTGGCGAGTGTGTTCTTCAGTTTTGTGTGTGTGTTGTGTGTGTGTGTGTCTGACCCTGGCGAGTGTGTCCTTTAGTTGTGTGTGTGTGTGTGTCTGACCCTGGCGAGTGTGTCCTTCAGTTGTGTGTTGTGTGTGTGTGTGTCTGACCCTGGCGAGTGTGTCCTTCAATTGTGTGTTGTGTGAGTGTGAGTGTGAGTGT